CATGACGCTTCGCAGTCGCCTGCCGGAACCGTTGATATCAGACAAGCCGATCTATGAGAGAGTCCTACGGAGTCTGAGCGACGTCGACCCTCGAGCAATCGCGTTGGTAAATTCTTAACATAATCCGATCTCGTTGCTGACGCTACGGTGTTTTGTAGCTTTGCTCCGAAACCGGAAAGACGTACACCGTGGCTGAGACAGTCGGTGCCGCAACCGCCGTCGCAACCATCCTTCATGAGGCGGGATTGCGCAAATCGGAGGTCGTCGCCTACTGTATGCGTAACTGCCCTCAGGCAGTTTTCGCAGTGTTGGGAAGTTGGATGTGCGGCGCCATAGCATGTGGCGTAAATCCGGACTACACGAAACGTACAATCTTATTATGATTGGCGTCCACGTGTTTACGGGTGGATGCTCAAGCTGTTCTGGGGGGAACAGTCCACTGCACTGCTTAAGTCATTAATGCACAGCAAGTAGAGCAGCACTGTTTACTTCACCGCATCTGAGATGACGGTGACAAACAACAACTTGGAGGAACGGACCAGATTTCACAGAAAATTCAAATCAGCACTATAAACAGTTGCGCAGCAGTCATTCGTTGGACTATCTCAGTATCAGCAAAAGGGAAGATGACATCTAACCATAGTTGCTGAAACTATATAAGTCAGCCAGTTTTCCAAGAGGGCTTGTTTTCTCGAGTCTCGGAGGCAGCAGCGTTAGTCAGTTCTGCAACTTGCATGATCCCGGGGCCAGCGTCTGAGCTTTGCTTTGACAGATGAAGACTCGATCCTAGAGCGGAGTCCGTCGAGATGCTCACCTTCCATGCTGGCTGTCTTATAAGTCTCCAGTCGGTAGGCTAGGCAATCAGAGGTTGTTTCGCCTTCTTTTCTGAAAGCGTTCAAAAGACACACCCAAATAGTCGCAGTTCTGACTTCTCAGTCTGGACCAGCACAAGCTGTACACCAAGGCCATTTCAACTACTTGAACTCCATACTTTGAGAGGCGCGAGTCCAGCGATTTGTATAAAAAACACAATTTTAACCGCACAATTCCCTTCCGTGCCTGAGCATCAGAATGAACATGTACCTGAACGCAGACAGCGTTGCCTTCAGACACAGTTCTGCCTTAGTCATAGCGATTCGGAGTAGTATGCACACGAAACGCTGTTCGTCATCATCATGATATGCATTATTTAAGCTACCTGGTGAAATTCTTTACAAAAGAGGTTACAATGGCAGTGGAAAGTCAATTACAAACCTGCGATTATGAGGTTATGTGGAACTCATCGCAACATCGCCAACGAAGCTACAGAAAACAACCAACATTCTTCTTCTTCTTCTTCCATCGCCGCTTCTCCTTTCGGGTCGCGGAGGCAGACGCGTCAGAGAGTGCTTCCAACGGTCCCGATT